GGGCAGAGACTTGGGTTCTGGGTCCGTCCATCTCTCCCACTTGTGCCCTCACCATCCTTGGGGATCAACACTCATTCTCTGGTACCAACTAGATGGAGGCAGCCACATTGAAAGGAGAAGGACCAAGGGAATGTTAGGAAAAGCTTTGGGAAAATGAAGAGGGAAGGGGGTAAGGGGCAGTCAGGGAAGGAGAAGAGAAATGGACGTGGAAGAAGCTGGGGCTGGAAGAGAAGGGGACAAGCTCTTGAAAAGTGATAGAAGGATATGGTCAGTCAGTCAGTCAACAAACATTTACTGAGTACCTCCTAGATGTGGAGCAATGTGCTGGGAGTGGAAGGTGCAGTGGTGGGTAAGATAAACATGGGGCCTTCAGGGGTGGGGAATGGTCAGCTTTGTAAATTAGAAATGGGGAGAAAGGGAGCAGGAAGCAGCTGGAAACAAGAAGGTAAGCATCACTGAGAGAGAACCTGCCCCAGACACACGGGGAAAGAGCCGTCTCCCCGATTGATGTTGAGACATAGCAGGAACCACCTGCCAGCACTGGCTCCGCAGACTGAGGCAGGTAGGGTGGGGAAGGGGAGAAATTCAGAAAGGGGAGGGGCAGGAGTGGGCAGGGGTGGAAAGTACAGGCTGTTCACAAGAAATATTTACTTGAGCGCCCCGGTGAAGGAGTGGTTCTCAACCTTTGGCTGCCCGCTGGAGTCACCCGAGGAACTGCTTCCTGCTGTCACTCGGGTCCCAAGCCCAGCGATTCTGATGTCCCTGGCCTGGGACGGGACTCAGACTTCAGAATGGATTGAACGCTCTCCGATGGGTCTAAGCTGCCATCAGGGCGGTGAGAAGCCGGCTGCCTGGCCTCCTTCCCCTGTTGAGGATGGGCCATCTTGAAAGAAGCGATCTCTGGGAACAGAAGTTGTGAGAATTGCCAGTGATGCTCTAAGACTTCAATGGTCGCCTGGGCCGGTGTGGCTCAGTGGACGGAGCGTAGGCCTGCGGACTGAAGGGTCCCAGGTTCGATTCTGGTCTGGGCACGTGCCAGGTGTGCTGGCTTGGTACCCAGTGGGGGGCTTGTGGGAGGCAGCCAATCAGTGATTCTCTCTCATCATTGATGTTTCTATCTCTCTCTCCCTCTCCCTTCCTCTCTGAAATCAATAAAAAAAATATTTTTTTAAAAAGAGAGACTTTAATGGTCCTGACAAAAGTAGAAGGGGGTCCTCTCCTTAGGAAGTGGCCGCCTCCTGGGCTCTGCCTCTAGTATGAGAGAGGCCAGATCGGCTAGAAATGAAGGAAAAATAAGAAAATGGCAACTCTCAAAAGGGAAGCACCATTCAAGTAACTCAAAATTGCTGCCAAATTCTTCTTAAGTGTTTGCACCCTGTCTTCCCACGCACACACATGCACACTTTTTTTTTCACTTCTGCTGTCTCCATGATGGGGCTCTGGGGGTGGGAGAGGCACAGCTGCCCCCAGCTTTCATCCCACAAAAGGCTTGGCAGCAGCCCAGCAGGATATTCAGCCCCACCTCCCCCCCCCAAACCCCTGAGTCACTGAACCCGGGTGGAGTCCTTAGCTTGACAGTGAAGCAATCTGAACTTGAAAAATGGCCTGGGAACAGAATGTGTGGTCTATATAAACAAGTCCTAGGCAGATTGTATGCAAATATTCATTCTTTAGCTCAACGAACATTTCCTGCCAGTCCTCTGTGTACTGCCTCAGTCCTCCTGCAGCAGTTCAAGACCTAGCAGGGAGTCAGAAGTGAAAAGAAGTGTGCAATTTACTCACGCTTGTGCCAAGAAATGTTCAGAGGAGGAAAAGGCTAAGGCTGGGTGGGAGATTTGTGTTCAGATTCTTTTTTTAAAAAATATATATATTTTTTTTATTGATTTCAGAGAGGAAGGGAAGAGAGAAAGATAGAAACATCAATGATGAGAATCATTGATCAGCTGCCTCTGGAACGCCCCCTACTGGGGATCAAGCCCACAATCTGGGCATGTGCCCTTGACTGGAATCGAACCTGGGACCCTTCAGTCTGCAGGTTAATGCTCTATCCACTGAGCCAAACCGGCCAGGCCAGACTTTGAACACAGTCTAGAAGGATGCGTAGGAGTTTACCAAAACAAAGGAGGGGTTAGGTAGGAAGGGAAATAGTAGAGAGAAGCGTAAAGTGTTTAGGGAGGGGGAAATATGTCCTTCAGGCAAAAGGAGAGGATTTGTAGGAAGTTAAAGGGGATGGAGGAGGGAGATGAAGCATCACATACCCCAGTAAGGAGTGTGAAGGACCTCGTGTGCCTAAAAGTGAAGTTTGGGCTTTTTACCCAGGAAGGAGTACAGGGCCAATGGAGGGTCTTAGAGGAGTGATCTTTTTCTCA